GACAGCCCCTCATGTTCACCAGGGCAGGATTGGGTACACACAGGCCCACAGAGGTAGTGCCGAGAGCAGTGCCGAAGGGGATAGTGCCCATTGAGCCAGGAGGTGCTGCTCAGGGGGCTTGATAACCACGAGGTGCCCACAGGAGGTGCACCTGGAGGGGCTGTGGTTCTGGGGATCCTGGGGACCATGTGCCCCTGTGCCATGGGAGCTGTGCCCTCTCCAGATCAAGAAGTACGAGAAGCTGGACTCGGAGGAGGAGCCGCCACATCTTCGACCATTACATCATGAAGGAGCTGCTGGCCTGCTCCCACGTGAGTGCTGTGCCATGGGCTGAGCTACCATGGTGGGAGGGATGTCCCCAGTGTGCCCAGGGGGACCTGGTACCCAGTGTGTTCAGAGGGAGCTCCACACATACCATAGGCTCTGTTCTGGGAGCCACAGACTCAGCCCACTGGACTGGGGGGTTCTGCCGTGGGTTCCTCCACTTGTGTGGCCCTGGCTGGCCCCTGTGTCTCTTCTGCCCAAGTTGACATGATCCCATCTCACCTCACAGCCCTTCTCCAAGAGTGCCACGGAACATGTCCAGAGCCGCCTGAGCAAGAAGCAAGTGCCCCCAGACCTCTTCCAGGTGGGCATCACCTGGGACAGAAAAGGGATCCCTGCTACTTGTGGTAGTCAGAGGGTTAATCTTTAGAGAGACCTAGGGATGACAGGATTACCTGGAGGTTTTGGGGGGTCCCAGAAGATAGGTGGACCCCAGAGGATGGTGAGGGGTTCCCCAGCATGTTGGGAGTAAGGAGGGATTGCAGGTGGTCCCCATGGGATGGTAGTCAGGAGTCTGAGAGCTGGAGGTAGCAGGGTGGTGACTGGGACCCTGGATGTCACCCTAGGGTGACAGTGGAGTCCCCAGGGCTGGTGATGTTGGGATCCCAAGGGATTCAGGTGAACCTGGGTGGCAGAAACATCCCTGGCAGTGGCAGTGGGGGTATGTAAAGTCCCGGGGGTGGAGGAGTCCTCACAGTCCACCCAGAGCTGAGTGCTGTGTCCCCCCCAGCCCTACATTGAGGAGATCTGCCAGAACCTGCGTGGGGGCATCTTCCAGAAATTCATCGAGAGGTGAGTTGGGGTCCCACATGGGTTGGGATGTCACATCCCACTGGGGAACAGGGTCTCCCAGCCCAGAGAGGGACAAGGAATCCCTTCTTAGATAGCAATTCCAGGGGTGTCTGTCCCCACACCGGGGACTTGGGGGACACTTCTCATCCCCAGGTCTGGCCCAGACAGGGATCCCAGCGGGTGCTGCCTGTCTCCAGACAAATCCAAGGGGTCCTGGAGGGGATGTTTCTCCATGGGCTTCACTCCTGGCCTCTCTGTGCTTCCTTCCAGTGACAAGTTCACACGGTTCTGCCAGTGGAAGAATGTGGAGCTGAACATCCATGTGAGCAGGGACCTGGGCATCTCAGGGTGCACTTCCAGGGAGGGGAACAGTGACAACAGTGCCCCGGGGAGCCTCTGTGTTCCTCACCTGGGGAAACTGAGGCAGAGGGTGGGTCCCTGCAGCTGTCCAGGCTCACCCCTGCCTCCTTCTGACCCCCTCCAGCTCACCATGAACGACTTCAGTGTGCACCGAATCATCGGCCGCGGCGGTTTTGGGGAGGTCTATGGCTGCCGGAAAGCAGATACAGGCAAAATGTAACAGGGGTCCTCCATTGTGGGGGGGTCAGAGGGACCTGCATGCTCCAGGGGGTACTGAGGCTGTGGTGGTGGTCCCAAGGACATCTGCAGTGGTGTTGCCATGACGACACGTGTTAGGGTGTTGCGGGAATATTGTCATGGCTACAGGCGCCTGGGGACGTCATGCCGTGGGTGGGAGCTGGGTGTGGTGATGTGGCTGTGGGTGCTGGCAGTGGAGGGACACGGTGGTGTGGCTGCAGGGACTCTGTGCCCACAGGTATGCCATGAAGTGCTTGGACAAGAAGCGCATCAAGATGAAGCAGGGCGAGACCCTAGCCCTCAACGAGCGCATCATGCTGTCCCTCGTCAGCACTGGGGTGAGGGGACAGGGTGCTGTGCAGGGCTGGCACTCTGCTGACAGGCTGTGGCACAGGCCAGGGGACAGGGACAGCAAGGGTGACCCTGTGTCTCCTGCCAGGACTGCCCATTCATCGTGTGCATGTCGTACGCCTTCCACACACCCGACAAGCTCAGCTTCATCCTCGATCTCATGAACGGTGAGACCCTGGTCCTGAGGGCCCTCAGTCCTGAGGTCACAGCTCAAAGCCCCCTGCCCATACCCTCCCTGGGGCACAGACGGTAGTGCCAGGGTGACAGCTGGTCCCTGTTTTCACAGGAGGAGACCTGCACTATCACCTGTCCCAGCACGGTGTCTTCTCAGAGGCAGAGATGAGGTTCTATGCAGCCGAGATCATCCTGGGCCTGGAGCACATGCACAGCCGCTTCGTGGTGTACCGTGACCTCAAGGTGACCATCCTGTGGGCACCCACACCCCCCAAAGGCACCTTCGGACCCTACAGGATGTCCCATTGGCATCCCCAGGCCCTGTGGAAACTGCCCCAGGCACCTCTGAGCACCCACAGGTGTCACAAGCACCCTCAGACCCTGTGGGCACTCCCCAAAAACAAAGGGCACCCTCAGATCCCATGGGCACTCCCAACCCTGCAGGAGCTCCCCAAACTGCATAGGTATCCTGAACCTTGGAGTTTACTCACAGACTCCCGAGACGTTGGGTATCCTGAGACCTTAGGGGCACTCACAGGCTCCACCAGCATTTCCCAGTCCCACCCCAGTCTTGTGGACACCCCCAAATCCCACACAGCTCCCCAGCCTGGCTGCACCCCATGCCCACAGGCTGTGCTTGGGCTGAGGGGGGACATGGTGTCTTGGCAGCCAGCAAACATCCTCCTGGATGAGTTCGGGCATGTTCGCATCTCAGACCTGGGCCTGGCCTGCGACTTCTCCAAGAAGAAGCCTCATGCCAGCGTGTGAGTGTGCCCGTGCCCCTGCCCACCCTGCCCACCCACCTGGGGCGGCCCCTGACCCCTTTGTGCCCCCTCCCCAGGGGCACCCACGGGTACATGGCGCCGGAGGTGCTGCAGAAGGGGGTGGCGTATGACAGCAGCGCTGACTGGTTCTCACTGGGCTGTATGCTCTTCAAGCTGCTCCGGGGGTGAGTGTGTGGGCTCAGCTGGGCACAGGTGGGCAAGGTGGGCACTGCTGAGCCCCCTCTCCCTCCATGCCACAGGCACAGCCCATTTCGGCAGCACAAGACGAAGGACAAGCACGAGATCGCCCGGATGCCTCTCACCATGGTGAGTAGGGGCACCCGTCAGGGGCTGGGGCAGGTGTGGGCAGGGCATGAACACCCTTGTGCTGCCATGTCTCCCACCATGTGCTGGTGGAGGCCTGGGGTGGGCACAGGGGGAGTCAGCTGAAGGTGAGTTCTGTACCCAGAGTGTGTGTTTGTGCCCATCTCTACATGGGTGTGCAGAGTGACATGTGCGTGCAGAGTGACATGTGCAAGTGGATTCACAGGTAGGGGCGTGGGTTTCACACAGGTGTGTTTGCAGTCTGTGTACATCTGTGTGGGGTGGGTTGCACACAGGTGTGTTTGCAGTCTGTGCACATGTCTGTGTGGTGTTTACACACACATGAGCCACTGTGTGTGGGCATTTGTGCACAGGCCCATTACATGTGTGTCAGTGTGTATTCTGTGCATCCCTGTCCCCATGCACTCATCTGTCTCAGTGCTGCTGTGCTCATGGCATCTCCCACAGGCTGTGGAGCTGCCAGACTCCTTCTCCCCAGAGCTGCGCTCCCTGCTCGAGGGGCTGCTGCAGCGAGATGTCAACCGGCGCCTGGGCTGCATGGGGCGTGGGTGAGTGCCCCTCAGGGTACCAGGCTGGGGAGGGTGCACTGTCACATCCCCCCAGCTGCAGCTCACACACCCTCCTCACTACCCAGGGCTCAGGAGGTGAAGGAAGAGCCTTTTTTCAAGGGCCTGGACTGGCAGATGGTGTTCCTGCAGAAGGTGAGGGGCACAGCCCCCATGGTTGGGGGCAGGGACATGGACACAGGATGGGCAGCCAC